TATAAGAGGATTGATATTACACAACACTACAGTACTCGTCTCTTTTCAAATGATATTTTTCTGTTTGTTTATCATTTGCTTAGCCTTTACCAATTCGTCTTCGGATTTCCGAGTCGTACTTTCTAGCCACTATTAATACGCTTCTCAGATATCTAAAGTGTTTGATTCCGTATATCTTTTTATAGCGCAAACTAAATAGAAGTAAACAGGTTATTTGCCGTTTGTAATGTCAACGAACACTCGTTTTCACTTTCGTAATGCTCGTTGTAGTAGAGACCTTGTAAATCGCAGATTACAACTATAGTACAACTATAGTAAGTCGTTAAACAATGCTGGTGTCAGACGCCTTCGAATAACACTCTCACTCGATAGTACTCGCTCGAAAAGTAACCACCAAATAGTGATCAGAATAGTAATCTGTATAGTGATGATATTCATTAACCGCCTCAGGTGGTCGGGTATGGCACAAGGCCGAGTTTATTGTGTGGTATCCGAGCCCGTAGGCTCGGGTAAATATTCCCCGTAGATCTGTAAAAAAACGGCGTCGGGTAGCTGTCTACCACTCTAGACGAGGCTTTGCTTTTTGGCACAACGTCGTCTGTGTTCCTCTCTGTCTGGAGGGAGAGAGTTTGACAAGTACACTTCCGAATTAATTCAGAGAAGGATCACTTATTCATTGAATATAAAGTAATCTGAAGAAAATAGTTGGTCGCTCATTCACTCATGCAATGCAGAGTTGGGGCCCCTACTGGGGAAGTGCAACCCCCCCCCCCAAAAAAAAACCAGCAGAATCTGAAGCCGGCACGCATCATAATGTTTTATTCTCTATTTCAATAACCATTTACCTTTCTAATTCAGAAACTCCTCGTGAAAATGTTTACGTTGTATTCGTCTAAAGTGCCGTAGGTGATACACCTATGTACGAAATCTGAGAGGCACATGCTAAAGTGCTGTGTCGAAGTCTTTTTAATCGAACCATTGTAATAAGCTCGAGGAGTCCATTAATTTCTGTCATGACACGAAGTAGGATCCCAGTTCCTTTCTTCAAGACGAGGTCGTTTTCTTTTTGAGTTACATTCTTCTAGACTTTGCCGAAAGAGGCAGGACCTACAAGGCAAGCAGGTGGTTTGAATTCAGAGTTGTCCTTCTCCTTGCCAACCAAGAGTATAGAACCCAGTGTGTCCATAATTGGGGGGGGATGATAGATTCATACATTTTCCAGAGGTATTAGCACGTGAGTAAGTGCTATGAACTCGACTAGAATTCTAACTCAGCTCACCGATTCCTCAACCCGAGCCGCTATCCCTTACTATACTTTGCCTGATTTTGTATACTTTTTAATATAAATGGTAACATTATTTTTGTGAATAAGGGTTAAGAAGAATATCTGAAAAAATGCAGAAAGTGTCATATAAATCACACACTGAATGTAAATAAATTTGCCTAACAAAATAAAAATTGTAAGCTTACGCTCATAATTTGAGCCCTCATCTCTAATCTGATCTACACACAGTCACATTTCTATGAATGAAGAACTTCCTTCGTTATGGTTAGACTGGTTTTATTCGTTTGCTCAGTTATAACCTGCGATTCATATTATTGTAAAGTATCTACTTTTTATCGATACAGAAAGTAACAATTATATTGCTTAAATAACACTTTAAAATAGGACAAAAATAGCTTAATTTAGCTTAATCTGTGTATATAGCCGTATATCAAAGCTGCTAATGATATTCACTGGTTGAATATTTGCTCTCTCGCCTAACACTAATTTGTTGTCACAATTGTTATTCCGATATGAGTGTCATCCGATATGAGTTTTGCATTACAAAATGTAAAATATTACAAGTAATTCTTAAAATACAAATTGGTATATATCTGGTGTTAATGGGGACGATAGTCGAAAAAATGATTGCATTAATTGATCAAGTTACAGTTGAAAATGTTTGCGCTTTGGTTTGGACATATTAAACTATTTAAATATAAAATGTGGTTTTTAAAGTCTCGACGCTATTGCACTAACGGTTATTAGCCTCAAAGGTTTTATACAAACTCCCATAAGTTTATGGAGAAGAGGAAAAATTAAATAGAAATTCAAGGGTTCCTCTCTTACATACTCTTTCTCATGCTTTATTGTGATGACGTATCTTTTTGAGACTTCAAACTTTGTTAGATGAATGGGGTGTTGCTGGGTGGTTAGAATGTTAACGTTCCTACCATGAGACACTGTTCAAATTTCAGTTATTTTTTAAGGAGGTAACGTCTTGATAATATCTTTTTGAGGGGACAATACCTAGAAGTGAGGTGGAAGTCCCTCTATACGAAAACTAGGGATCCCATCTAGCGTTGCGATTGATTGAGTAATTCATTTCTTACTGTTTATCAACCCTTCGCAGGTTATCTAAACCATAAAGTATTTTTAGATTATATGATTTTTTTAAAAATATAATAATGACTTCATGATACAATTCTTACTACTTAACCCATACTTGGGAGGAAAAGGAGTGGATTCATACCTTACCCAAATGTATTTGCAGGGAAGTACAGATAACGAATCCAACTGAAATTTGAACCCGGCTCTCCGATTAACAATTCTATACCATTATCCAATACACCACCCGCACATCTAAGCTTACAACACCTGTTATTCTGACAGTGTCCCCCATCTAAGGATTAATCATGGTCGACGCCGCTTTACTTCGATGATTGTACGCTGAACCGGTGTGCCACGCTATATGGCGGTAAACCTAGACCTGGAAGCGACAAATGTTTAGACGAAGCTATTCACAAGCCATCCATGTTTGTGCTTGTGGAAGATAGACGCTTTTTGCCATGAGTTGACAAGCTATCTAGAGATGGTGTTTCGATAAATGCCCACATGCTCATTCAAGGGATGTACATAGCTAAAAATAAGATGATAATCTTAGCCAAGATCAAATATGATAAATACACAGCGCTGGACGTGCGAGAGGTGCGATGAGGATGGAAATAGAAAGCTAATCGTCTCTTTCTATTGTGAAGGACGGAGAGAATGTTCATGAAATATTAACATATAAAGAGTAGAAGTTCCGGGAGAACGAGAGAATTGGTTCTATACTCTTTCGAATTGCCGCCAACTGTATTCAGACGTCGGTATGATAATCCATGTATTAACCAATACTATTTCTAAATATCGGCAAAAGGATACTCTACTGGAATCCATGAAGCATTTAAACCAGGTTTAGACAAAAGATTTTAAATGCTTTTGCCTCATGATTGTTTTCTGTAAAACTTGGTGTATCACAGCGACAATATATATGCGCATATTATTTGTATATTCTTTGCCTATAAAACACATCTGAATAACTTATTGTACAAACGCTGAAGAAATAAGTTTAACACATTTGCTGCTGTTAATTACATTTTTATATCTGAGAAAAGTAAAAGTAAATTTAATTATAAAAATTAAACTTAAAATCCAGAATTTCGTTCCATTGTCAAGTGATGTTAGGAATAACTTTCTAAGAAATTTACTTAATTTATAAGCACAGACAATCTTAATATTTTGACTTGTTATGGTTAAAGAAAATTCAATCTATTTTGATTAAGGGTAGTTGGATTTTAATTTCTCTAGACAATTTATGTGTCAGATATATGTTACTTACAAAGTCAGGTTAAGTTTAAGTGAGGTTTGACTTCCTGCTAACAAACATAGACTACAGTTATTCATCGTGTCCTCTAGGATTTCAATTTTGACATTTTTATTTATCCGCTTAATTCATATTTTGATGCACAAAGATTTTCTATATATAAATTATAATTTATTACAGATTTTACAAGTTTAGTTATGGTTTTTTGAATTAACAATATTTTGACCTATGTTAGGTCATTCAACAACAAATATATTTTTTAATTTTATTTTACTAATGATTTTTTAAATCTAAAATTAAATATATACAGATTTGTGTCATTGCCGGTTTGAGGGATCTAGTGTAATAACGAATGTATAAACCTAAATAACTATTCCTTAAACATATCATAACAAGTGATGAAAAATGAGTTCCATACGACAATATTCCACGCAAAAGATAGTGCTTTTACAGTGATAACCTATACAGTCTAATCCAAACTTTAAACCCCAAAGAATAATGGTAAGATTTTGTGTGTGGCGAGAACATTTAGGCATTATTCATTTTAGTGAGTTATGTGCCATACGTGATACACGCTTAGACGATCATGTAACTTTCGATACTTGACTGACGGGACAGATTTTTTTTCCCGCAGTAGATAGCTATTTTTTTCTGCGTCTGACCAGTTGCCGTTCTGTCCTGCTATTTACCCATAGCTGGGGGGGGAGAGAAGAAGGAGAGGATTCATACTTTTCCCAAGGGTATTAGCACTTAAGTGAATGTAATGGATCCGACTGGAATTCGAACTCGGCTCTCCGATTCCTCAATTATTCCGAGCCGCTATCCATTACTAAGAACGCAAATGAAATAATAAAAGCACAATGAAACACTATGTTTGATTTACTTGATTTTGTTTAGAGGCATATTAACCTCTATGGCGATTTAATGCTAGAACCTATTTTAAACTCAATTTATGCTTTTAACTATAGAGAATTTGTACATCATTTTATACATTCAGGATTGCTGTATGCTTTATAGATATATAATTTCTAGATTATGTACTGTATGTGTCATATGTTTTAGTATAAATATATTACTTTTTTTTTGGAAAAGTATTTTTATTGGTTCATTTTCTACGGATTATCAAGTCATTGCATGTTATTTAAAGCCAGATATTTTTTTTAGATTATATGATTTTTTTAATTTTAATAATAATTTGTTGATATAAGTCTTACTAATTAATCCATGGCTGGGAGTAGAAAAGGTGGAAATTTTTTTTTTCCTAAGGGTATTTACACGTAAGTGAATATAGCAAACCCAACTGGAATTGGAACTCAGCTGTCCGATTACCAATTCCGAACCATTATTCATTACACCCTTCGCACATACA